ATGCTGCTGTTAACCTGGCACTGCACAGTGATGATTTGCCTAAACTTCAATAACCCATGTACTACAGTTGGCCTTGGTTATTCCCTTTTTTCATGGAGGTGTTTGTTTGGTGTACATAGCACAGTGGTGCCCTGGTCTTGCTTGGGACTGTTGCAGTATAAACACTTAACTTGAGAGAGGGCTCACAGATTCAGGACATTTCTGTTTGGGAAGTGCTTGACTTGCATCAAAAATGTCCATAAGCCTTCACAGCCCAGCCCTCGGACCTTCCCTTTTTTTGTCTCTGTTGGCAGTATGTTAACGGCGGGTGTCTGGAAGAGCTCCTGGCCAGCAAGGAAATCACTCTCACCTGGAAGGAGAAGGTAGACTTGGCTTCAGACATCACAAGAGGGATGATCTACCTGCACTCCAAGAACATCTACCACCGGGATCTCAACTCCAAGGTAGACTGCATGCAGAGGGTGACTTCTGCCACCCTTGTGCTGAGGACTAGGCCTGGACTCCACTGTAGTCTCTCCAGGTTCCTGTGGGGTTTAAAGTGATGCGTAGGCCTCTGCAAATGGCTGAATTCTCTCTAGTGACATCCTGGAGCACTTACGGAAGCTTTCTTGCTGTACCCTATAATTATGGTGCATCATGTTCTTACCAGGCAGGAGACACAGAGGGAGCTAAAAATATATTTCTCAAAATGTGGTTGCACTAAGAAAAGCCACTCAGTAGAAATGTATGTGCCAGGATTCCACATTCCTTTTTCTTCTGTCATTGCAAGAGAAACTGTATGCAAGTTACAAATCAAAACCAGATTTATTCCTCTAACCACCAGCACAGCAACGAAAAAGAAAAGCGAGCAGTTGATAATAAGATGGGGAAGGAGATGGGTTGGGCCATCATGTTTGCTTTGTGAGCACTTTCTGCGCTTTATGTATTTATTGTGGCTTGTCTGTTGGGGCTTTGTCCCCCTCTAGAGGGTGGACCACAGAGCTGTCAATGAGCCAGCAGTAGCTGTGGGAGTAGGGCCAGGCCTTCTAGTTTTGTTCTTTTTCAGATCCATTGGTTCCCAGGTCCAGTTTCCCACTCCACGTAGAAGTTACATTACATCATTTATTGCACTAATAACAAAGGACATATACAGACATGCTCTTGGAGCCGCTTTTATTAAAGTGCCCGAAGCATCACACGTATCGGCATCCCTGAGCTGAAAAATGGCAACAGGGGAGCTTTAACTAAAGCTTTTTGAACAAGTTGTAGCTAAAGTTTCCCCACCACCATTTTTCAGTGCAGGGATGCTGATACATGTGACACTGGAATCTGCTGGACGCATGGTAATTACAGTGCATCATAGCAACCATGCTACACATGTATAGGCACCCTTGACTCTGGTTTTGGAAGCAGGCTGAGAATTTTGGCCCAAAGCAGAAGAGAATCTTCCTTGTTTCTCTTGCAGCTGCACTGGTCCTGCAGTACCAAGGCCTGGAAAGTTTTCCTTTGCTTCCTTGCAGATGCTGCTTATCTGACATAATGGGAGCACTTCTGGACAGTGCTACTCTTCAGTCCTTTTCCTACTTATAACCCATACTTCTAATTTAAAACGGTTCAATCTGCAGTGGTGGTTATGAAACACTAGGGGTTATGAAACACTACAAGTCTTTTCATGGTGCAATGAAGCTCTAACCCTAGCAGACCTGTCAGATCAAGTACTTAGAGCTAAACCTAGCCCTAGTATAAATCCACTGAAGTTAGTAAGGATATTCTTGGCATGAATTTGGTCCTAAGTGGAACCACTGCTGACAGACTCAGTAGATATGGATGGATCTACATCTTGAATGTCCTGTTTTCCCCTAGAGGTGCTCCTGCAGGTTACAGCAGTTCTTGTTTAGTCTTATGGCTAAGGATAATAATGGGAGCCAGGGGCTCTGGCTTCTTTTTAGGTCTCTCACCTGTTGTGTGATTTCACGCAAGTCACTTCTTTCTCTGTGCTCCTTTCTTCCTCATCTACAGAATGGGGATTATGATCCTTGGTGCTGTCCTGGGGCAGGAAGATCCTGATGCTCCCTCAACCTAATATCTGCAGAGTGCTTTGAGTTCCTCTGCTGGAGAGCTTGAGAAGCATGAACTTTAAGCATTATTTTGAGGCACCTTGGCAGGAGGGAGGGGAGTCTCCAGGTTCCTCTTGTGCTTCTCCTATTTGGAGAGCCAGTAAATTGTTTTATTCTCCAGGGTTGTCATGACAATCTGTCACCTGAGCAGCTGTACTTAAAGAACCATCTCTAGTTTTGAATGAATCTGCTTTACCTGTCAGCCTCTGGGCACCTTAAAATGGGACACACTAGGAAAGTTTTGTAGAATTCCAGGCATTGACCTTGGTGCAACATCAAACCTCCCCTTGATATCAGTGGAAGTAAGACCATCGTGGACAGATGATAATCCTTAAGCTATCTTGGGCTAAAGTTGCTGTCAGTGGTGCTGTGCACATTCACTTTGTAGATTTATACGAGGGAGATGCATCAGTTTACATTACTTGAGGATCTGGCTACTACCTTGTATCTGTTAGAGTCAAATAACCCTTCACCCTGTACTGAAACAACCCCTGCAAACCTTTGCAGTAGGTGCCAGGTACATACCTGTTGCTGTGTTGTGACTCCTTCATTGATGTTCCATAGCCTTTTCTGTGGAAACGTGAAGTATTGATGGAGTAGGGATGTGATGAAGTCAGCCAAGCATCACAGCCCTAAGAACCATCAGTACAGGAAGCTGACACAGCTTCGTTATCTCCACAGCTGCTTGCTCAATTCAGTCACAAGCATCAAAATGCAAACACGGTTGGAGAACAAAGTGCTTTGATAGGACTATGGCTTTACCTCTATTTCACTGGATGTTATAGGACATCAGTAGTTGCCCGTGAATTGATCCTGATGTCCTGTTAGCACCTTGTAAAATCAGAACCACCCTGAATGTGCCACCAACCAGTGAGTGCATATTACTGAATTTCACTGCACATGAAGTGCCTCTCTCTGCAGTTTGGCCCAGATGCACATTCTTCCCTCCCATCTCCCAGTGACTGTTCCCAGCAATGACAGCCCAGAATGTGGAAGGAGGGGAGGAGAAATAGGCTTGAAGTCTGTGCAAGCCAGTCATCTTAAGCAGATTTTCCTTGTTTGCTCTTTTTAAACCTGCCTCATTCAGCTTAACCGCATAGAGGGAAATCCTACAGAATTTGACAGGACTTTTCTAGAAATTGAAGAAACCTTTATACAAATTATTCTAGAAGGTCAGTGGGCATAGGCTTTAATAGAAAATTGTTTCCTTTCCAGAGATTGTATTCTACAGTTGGAATATATTTGTCTCTGCTTCTGTGATATGGTCCAAACAATCCTATAGAAATGTTCTGGCTTTTTGTTAAATTCTATAGGACTCTGTGAAGGAAGTGAAGGGAGTGCTTTGCAGTTTAGGACAACCAAAACCAAGCAAACTGGCCACCTGGATATGTTTTGCTGAACCTCCCAAACTCATTGGTGCCTATTGGCACTTGCTAGTGTGTAGCCCGTCTCTGCTATGGAAGAACATGGAACATACTTAGCACGAGACTGAGATTCACTTGTGAAGGTTTAGGGATGGGTTACTGTAGGCTGAACCTGGTATGGACCTGTGGAAGAGCATTCTCTGGGGGAGGTGAAAAGTTGGCTCAGCTTTTTCTCTGCATGGGAATCTCACACTGAAAGGCTCATTTCAGAACTGCCTCATTCGAGTGACACAACGGGGCCGGGAAGCCTTGGTGACTGATTTTGGCCTGGCTCGGGAAGTGGTGGAGCTACCTGTGAAGGACCCAGAGAGGAAGCTGTCTCTTGTGGGCTCTGCCTTCTGGATGGCACCTGAAATGCTGCGAGGGGAGCCCTATGACAGGAAGGTATGGTACTGATTCCTCCCTGGTCTCCAACACAAGTACTAAGGTTAGCTTTTCTTCCTGTTGGTGGGTCATTGCCATGACCTTGCTTATGAATTGCAGGACCAAGTGGCCCCAGCAGAATCAGACCAACATCCTTGGGGATGCAGTCTGATCCCTCACCAAAGCCTGTGTGAGTTAGTTGAGCTTTGTGTGTGTACCTGTGGCCTGAAGTTTTGCCCAGTAAAGTCCTTTTCAGACTCAAAAAGTGCTGATGTTTGACTAGCCTAGTTAAATCATTACTAGTTAGAGGGACAGATCCTGCTTGCTTAGGGGAACAGGACTTTGAACTTCTGATGATGAAAACATGTGAGTGCTGGTTAGTGGCCACAAACCCACGTAAGTACTTCAGTCACTTCAATCTCCACTGAAATGTAGCCAGTGTGGTGAGAATACACCTGCCACTATAAAGACGACAGCAACATTAAACAATACTGTTTAATGTCCCACAGAGTTTGGTCCTTGGGCCAGTGTTATTTAATATCTTCATCAGTGATTTAGACAAGGGTGTGGTAAGCACCCTCTCCAAGTTTGCAGATGACACCAAATTATGGGGCAAAGTGAATACAGATACAGGCTGACCTGGACAGGTTAGATCAATGGGCGGAACGTAATAGGATGCAATTCAACAAAGATAAATGTAAGGTACTCCACCTAGGAAGGAGGAATCCCCAGCACACCTACAGGTTGGGGGATGTCCTCCTCAGCAGCTCAGAGGCTGAGCGAGATCTTGGAGTTATAGCTGACTCCAAGATGAACATGAGCCGGCAGTGTAACAAGGCCATCAACAAAGCCAATTGCACCTTGTCGTGTATTGGCAGATGCCTGACCAACAGATCGAGGGAGGTGATGCTCCCCCTCTATGCAGCATTAGTCAGGCTGCATTTGGAGTACTGTGTCCAGTTTTGGGCGCTGCACTTCAAGAGGGACACAGAGGATCTGGAAAGGGTTCAGAGGAGGGCCATCCACATTATCAGTGGTCTCCATGAAAGACCCTACGAGTAGAGATTGAGAGATCTGGATCTCTTCAGCCTATACAAAAGACGGCTGAGGGGTGACCTTGTGGCCACCTATAAATTTATCAGGGGAGGACAGCAGGGAATTGGGGATGCGCTGTTTACCAGAGTGCCCCAGGGAGTAACTAGGAATAATGGGTGCAAACTAGTGGAGAGTAGATTTAGGTTAGACATTACGAAGCATTTTTTTACAATAAGGGTGGCCAGAACCTGGGACGGGCTTCCAAGAGAGGTGGTGCTATCACCTAACTTGGAGGCCTTCAAGAGGAGGCTTGACAATCCTGCCTCTCTCTCTCTCTCTCTCTCTCTGATCCCTTCCACAGGTGGACGTGTTCTCGTTTGGCATAGTCCTGTGTGAAATACTGGGCAGAATTCCAGCTGATCCTGAAGTGCTTCCCAGGACTCGGGTAATTATTACTGGAGCCAGGCTTGACTGGTGTTTCATGTCGGCTTTGGAGATAATAGATGGAGGCCACTGGCTTTTTCAACTCTGGAGAGCATGGACTTGAATCCTGAAGACATAGTACCATTATGTGGCTGCACATACTTGTACTTGATCATGTGTATGAGCCCACACAGACACATGCACTAAAAGGATCAGGCTTATAATAAGAGCAGGTGGAAGAGTTTCTAACAAAACCGCTTTTCATTGGAAAATGGTTTAGCAGAAATCCAACTTTTTTTGCAGGGAGAAACATTGGCTTTAATTACACTTAAATCCATTTCTCTGATGTGATGTTTTGAACCCCAGAATTTTAATTTTCAGGAACTCAATTCAGAGCACTTCCTTTTGAATTACCATTTTGCTTTTTAAGCTCAAATGTCAATTTGAAATGAAAAATTTAAGTGGTTTCATTGTACGTTGACATTTTTTATTAAAGTGTCATGTTTCAGTCAGCAAACATCAACTTCTTTGCTTCAGCCTGAGGAAAAGAAGGCTGAGAGGGGACCTGGCAGGAGCTCACCGCTACACTAGAGGAGTATGTCAAGGGCTCGGCGAGCAACTGTTCACCAGGGCAGCCTTAGGGAAAACCATGGCCACAAACTCCTGCAATACCACTTCAGGTTCAACATTAGGAAACTTTCTTCACAGTTAGGATGTCCAGACTGTGGAATAAGCTCCCTGCAGAGGTGGTGCAATTGCCTACCCTGCAGATCTTCAAGAGGAGACTGGATGGTCACCTTGCTGGGGTCACCTGACCCCCAGTTGTCTTTCCTGCCTGGTGCAGGGGGCTGGATGTGATGATCTTCCGAGGTCCCTTTCAGCCTTACAATCTACGAATCTATGAAACCTTCCCCAAGTTCAGGGCTTTCTGTTTCATTATTTGGTTTTTGGGGGTTTTCTGGTGGGTTTGTTTTTTTTTAATTTGGACTTTTCATGCCAATTTGTGACACAGCCAAATACCAAAATATTGGAATTTCTCTGCGAACCAAAGAACTCAACACTGTCTTAGCCCAGGCTGAGACTAATCTCTATCTGTTTTTACCACGTGAGAGAAATGTTATACCAGAGACTCCAGAATGTGGTATCTCAAGGGAAGGAGGAGTAGTTACACAAACACTGGATCTAACTCAGGGATTTGCCCAGGGCTGACAAGAAGTTTGGGGCAGAGCAGGGAATCTAACCTGAGTCACCCAGGTCCTCAGCTGATACCACAAACACTGGACCATACTTCCCTGAGGCAATACATTGTCCAGGGGTTGGAAGCAGGACTAGAAATGGGGACTCTACATCTTCCAGTTCTGTTGCTGATTTATCTGTCTCCCTTTAGCATTTCTAAAGTGTCTTCTGCTTCAGTTTTTCTGGGCATCTCTGCAGAGTCACTATGATGGTTATTCTGGAATGGATGGGAGTCTTAATCAATGAATAGTTAAGTGCTTTGAGATCTCCTGAGGAGGGCAAACCATTAGTCAAGGAGTTGATTTGTATCATACCTCTGGCTTCTCACATCCAGTGTCCATGTTCATAGCATTTAGGTTTTGGTAACTGGGAGCTGCGTCTAGAAGGATTGCTTTGTGGTGAAAATTGAAACTCAGCCTGAGCTGAATTATTCTGAGGATTTGCAAATTCCTTTCACACTTTCTGCTATGAGTGGAAAGCTCCAGCTGACAGCGCACCCCGTCATGACCACCTTCCCACTGCCAGGCCTGTTACTGACCCAGAATCCCTTTCGCTCTTCTCCCACAGGATTATGGCTTAGATGTTGCTGCCTTCCAAGAAATGATCAGTGAATGCCCCAAGCGGGTTGTGGACCTAGCTGCTAGCTGCTGCTGGGTATGTCTCTCCCCTGGTTTCCTTTCTGTCAGTGGCGCAAGAACCCAAATTGCACACCAAGCCCAGTGGGGATTGAACCTACTGCCTTTACCATTTTAGCTAGAGGAGTGACTCCAGTCTCATGAACCAGTGGTAGGCTTTTATCTCCTGAGTAGGTTAGCCACCAGCAAGGGATGGTGTAGCTTGTGTGTTACAACTGCATCATAATAAGAAAACTCGAGGGAAGTGGACAAAACAGCTCCATAGTTTAGACCGGTGGTCACCAACCAGCGGATCGCGATCCAGCGGTAGATCTCAGAGCCTCTTGGAGTCGATCCGAGGCTGGGGTGGGGGGCTGAGTGCCTGCATGCATGCACACGTGCACCCCAGCCCAGCAGGTTAGTCCGTGGGGGAGGAAAGGGGCGCGGGCTAGATTGAGGCCCCTGTGGTGAGGGACAGTGCCGCAGAGGCAGGAGCAGGGGTAAGTTGAGTGGGGCCCCGGCTGGGTGGGACTTATCTGCTGGGGAGGTGCGCCCCCAAATAATTTTTTCTTCCTCTGCCTCAATCTACCCCCGCTCCTTCCCACCCCACAGACTTACCTGCTGGGTGGGGTGGCAGCACACAGCAGATTTTGGGTTGCTTTTAAATGCCAAAGGTGATTTTCTACTTAAAGGTTGGAGACCACTGGTTTAGACCAGTGGGAGTCATTGTTTGCCTTACCCTCTGCATTAGGTATTTCCCTAAAAGTCTTGCAGGGATAGTTAATGTAGGAATGTACGTTTTCCAAGTAATGCAGTGACTTGGACCCACAGCAGAAAGATAAAATGGCCATTGGACTACACAGATGACATAGTGCGGGTACAAGAACAGGAGAGTTACAAATGGAGAGAAACAAATGACACAGCCTCGAGCATGCAGTCTCTAAGTTTTTCTTCCATCCTCCAGGACTCCTTTGTCACATCACAACATCTTTGTGTTCTTTTTTTTTTTTTTTTTAAAGCAACACAAAGCAAAGATGTTGCTTGGAGCTTTATAAGACAAGCTGGAAATAAAGCAAAGACTTACTCTAGTTAATCACAGCAAGGAAGGAACAGAGGCAGTTACTCATCCAGGCAGAGAGCAGAGAAGTTGTATGATTACACTGCACCTAATTAGCTAGGAACTCAAAAGTAACATGTTAAAATGAGCTTCAGCAACAGTCTTAATGAAGTGTGAATAACATATTCCTGAATCAAAGAGATGAATCAGAAAGGGCAGCCAGCTAACATTCATGTGCCTTCAGCTCCTGACTCTCTAAGGCAGCTCTGACACCAGGAGTTGATAATGAATCAGATCATGTGGAGAGCAGATCTATGCGACAAAAATGGAGGAAATGTTAGAAATTTTCCTCTTGACATAAAGGGAGATGTCTCCCTAGACATCTCTAACTTGACAATATAAAATACTTACAGGGTCCTGGTTTACCTGGTAGAGCTGTGTGAAGCTTCAGTCCCCGATTTGATTCAGTGGAGATTTGGCCTGATTTGGTGGCTGAATATCTGAATCTGAATTGAATCAGAGGACCCTTTAATCTCTCTGAATCGATTTGGAATCCTCCCAATTGATTTGGAGAGATTCGGACAGATTTGGCAATTTGGACATGGATATAGCTTTAACTGATTTTTCTACATACTTCTAGGTAGCAGGCGGCTCGTGAGCGCTGCGATGCTGGGGCGGATGCAGTGCCCCACAGGGGTGCAGGGGGCCCCCAGCCCACTCAGCAGTAGACCCGGAAGTGGACCACATTGGGTCCCTTGGGGCAGCCTGGGCCGTGGCATATGCGGCCACTCCCACTGGCCTAGCACTGCTGCATGTCCAGGGGCAGATTCCCTTCCCTGGCAGTCCCGGGGGCAGCAGCTCCTTCTGGCTGGCAGGCAGGGGGGACCAGGGATCAGGATTAGGATCGCAAGGTAGTGACAGCGCAGGGCCAGGGCCTGGGGCAGAGCCATGATCTGCTCCCTGCATGTCCCTGTGCTGGTTTTGCAGGCAGAGACCTGTGGGCATCAGATTGCAGTTCTGCCATGGTTCTGGCCCCATGCTGTCACTGCCCTGTGATCCCAATCCCAGTCCTGGCCTTGGCCCTGCCCCTTACCTGCCAATCCTGCTCCTGCATGCTGCTCCTTGCCTGCCCACATCCCCATTCCTGCCACTTGGCCCACAAAGGGGCCACTTAGGGAGGTTTGGTGATCTGTTAGGGAGGGAGGAAGGGGTGCAGTGCTGACCTGGCCCAGAACAACTGACTAAGGCTAGGGATAGACATTACACATAAACCGGTTTAAGTGATCAGAAACTGGTTTAAACCTGTAACAAAGCAGGCATTCAGTGCACATAAACTAGTTTGAAAATGGCTGAAACTGGTTTGAGGTAAACCTGGTTGAATGTAGTATCAGACTGATTTGGCTCAAACTGATTTATGCAATGTCTGTCCCAGACCCCTTCCTGGTTTAAGTTAAATCAGAGACCCCCTCCCCTCTGCTCTCTAGTATCATCAGACACTGCCCTCCCCAGCCCACCGGCAAACCCTGTGGATCACAGCTGGTGTTTGCCAGCTGCAGGTGCACCTCCACGGCTTTCCTGTAGCTAGGCAGAGATGGGGTTAATTCCTCCCTTAGTCCAGCTTGCCTGCAGCTAGGGAGGGGATTGATTCCACAGCGGTCCTGGAGTGGGGGAGAGAGGCAAGCTAGTCCCCTGTGTGCAGATCCAAGACCTGCACCTGTGAGACAAGAGCTAAGACCTTCAGGACCAGACTGAGAGGTTGGAAGTGTTGGCAAAGACCTGACAAATCCTCACATATATGTGCTGGAGATGGAGTTAAGGGAAGTTGCAGACAGCTTCTGGCTGGAAGTTGTAGACCAAAGAATGCAGAGAGCTACTTTTATATTATAAAGCAGAACCTGTAAAACCTAAACAAAGCCTTTTTGAATGCCTGGTTGTAAGGAGACACTCTGCCCTCAGGATTAGTAAGACTTCTGCAAGGCTTTCTCTTGTCTTCCTGCTTTACATTTTAAGTTAGACTAAGTTGTGTATGCTGTGTTTTACTGGCCTGTATCTTAGCTTAGGTGAAGATTTTTTTGGTAGTTCCCTGTTGTGTGCTTTGCAAATTGCTGTGTTCAATACATGCTTGCTCCAGAGAGAGGACTTTTTTTCCCATCCCCACTCCTCAGTCTGGCAGCAGCTGTCCCTCCAAGGACAGGTTAGAACACTGCACAAGGTGAAATGGATGAGCAGGAGGCAGGGTACAGGGAGGTTTGGTCTTGCATTCATGTGACACTGATGTGAGATTGCTAATGTCTTGCAAGCAATGGAGCAGCTGTCCGGGGATGGGGGTGGAAGCTGGGGTAGTGGTGAAGGGCAGGGCATCACACTTAACCTAGCTTGCCCCCCACAAGTAGCTTCACTCTCAGTCCTGCTAAAGCTCTGTGCCCTGTATGAGCTCATCTAGCTCTGGGAGAGCCACTGTTTCATCTTCATTGTGTCCCATCCCATCAGGATATTTGATTCATCCTCTCCCTTCTTCCCACTCCCCCTTTCAGGTGGAAGCATTCAAGAGGCCATCTTTCTCTGAACTCCTAGATGAGCTGGAAGATGTAGCAGAGAGCCTGGAGCCCAAGAAGGACAATCAGCTGTCTGGATGATATCCCAGGCTCTTCTGAGACCTGGCAGAGTCAGACTCAAACTGTAAATTACCTGTACATCCAATATTTGCACGGGCAGAAAGAGAGCAAGGGTGAAAGAGCAAAGCAATGCAATGGTATTTATTTAACTGCATTCTCATTCTCTGGTTTCTCACATTGAAAATGTGGTTTAAAAAAAATGCAAAGGGGCAGGTTTCCTGGGGTATTTTTTTTTCTAGATGAGGTTTTTAACAGAAACAATTCAGACTTTAAGTATTTAGGTTTTTTTTTAAAGGAGGAAGTACTAATTTTTGTTGTAAATACGGGACAGAG